CTCAGACGACCTTCTTTCCCCTTTAAACGAGCACGTATAGCCTTGATAGGTCGCCCCGACTTCTGCATAGCTTGAGGAACCCCTGCAATATCATTGTCCATATAAGTAGCCACGTGATATTGAAGTAGCTGCTCATATTCGGACACTATATGCGGAGGCGCGCCCTCTTGTTCGCTCCGGCGAACATTCCCGCTGGCACGGATGATTTCTGCGAGCTTGTAGGTCAAGTCATCTTCACTGCGTCGAACGCCTCCGTCAACCGAGATGGAAGGTCGCACCGGTGGAGGTGGTACAGGAAGCACAGTCAAGATCATCCAATCCGGTCGAGCATAGGCTTCAGACAATCCAAGAAGCTCAAGGTCTTCTCCTGATATCTTGCGAAACACGCTAAAGACCTCCGCTGCCGAGACCTGCTTCTTTTCTTGAACCGTAGGGCGGGAATCCTACTTTAGGTCAGTACCTTTCACTTAGTTACTCGCTCAATACCGACCTCGTCATCATTCTGCTTCTTGTAGTTGTAGAAAAGTTTTAGGCCTTCTTTCCGAATCTGAGGTTGATGATGACCGCATCCACCATGCCCTTTCTTGACTTCTGTTGGCTGACCAGCCTCCTGATCCTCGTCTTTGACTTCATCTGCCTCACATGTCATCTTGCTTTTACAGATACCCCAAACAACGGCCATGCGGGCTTTGGGATTATTGCGTGTCTGTTTAATTTTACTGGCAAATGTAGGATCGGACTAAATCGATTCGAAGATATAAGAAAATTACTCGTCAGCGATCCAGTAGATATACGAGACCGCCAAGAAAGAGACATCTGAGGAGTAATACGTAGTATCCGAGAAATAACTCGCATCGTACGCGAGAAGCTCCGATAGAGCAAGTAGATGCCCATTCTCTGGCTAACCCGGCAGGCGACGCCAATGGCCTCAAGCATCACCCAACTCTCCTTTTCACCACGCAGCCGTATGCCAACTACAGAGCTCTTGTAAGGACCTTGAGATGGTGCGAAGACCCTCAATGGTCGAGCCACTGCAGAGATCATCCGGAGAACTGCGGGTTCGGGGTTTCTCACTCTGAGAGTGGGAAGAGCCCCCAGAAAGTGCGGAAGGAGGGTTACGGGAATACTCACGGTATCGGCCTTTAGTTTTCCACAATGGACACACATCTCTTACCACTATATTGATAATTGAAACATAATTGTCCATGAATTCCCTGGAAGATATCTCGATGAGAAAGTGGTTTCCACCATTTTTCACGCAGACGTCTGTGAGCTTATGCGACGTGTCAGCTTGCGTAGAGTAATGGGTCAGTGGACGCCTACTGTGAGTGCAAGAAGCTGCACATT